ACAAGTCAAACAGTTCAAAACTCGGGTGTGAACAGTCCATGATTATGTTTTCTGCTCTGTTGAGGCAGCGTGATGTGTAAATGTCCATCAGGGAGGGGAGAGGGCAGCCAGTTATCTTTTGTGCTGTCTTGACTACTCTCTGAAGCCTCTCCCTGTCAGCCAGGGTGCAGCTGCCGTACCATACTGAGATACAGTATGTCTGCAGGCTCTCCATGGACGAGTGGTAGAAGGTCAGAAGCAATTTGGTGTTCAGGCTGTGCTTCTTAAGGACTCTTAAGAAGTGTAGTCTCTGCTGAGCCTTCTTGATGACCGCTGTGGTGTTCTCTTTCCAGTTAAGGTCAGCAGAGATATGGACACCGAGAAATCGGAAAGTGTGAACCCTCTCCACGCACTCGCCATTGATGTAAAGGGGGGCTAGGTTGGTGCTGTGCTTCCTGAAATCAATAATCACCTCCTTGGTTTTTTTGATATTCAGAGCCAGATTTTTCTCTGAGCACCAGGTTGCTAGCTCCAGGACCTCCTGTCTGTAAAATGTCTCATCTCCCCTTGAGATTAGTCCGACCACTGTGGTGTCATCAGCGAACTTGACGATGAGGTTGTTGTTGTGGGCCGGGCTGCAGTCGTGGGTGTAGAGACAGTACAGCAGGGGGCTCAGCACACAGCCCTGTGTGCATAGAGAGACCAGCTGACCAGATCCATAATTTACTATTTGGAGGACATGTAGTGAGAGGCTCTGACAGGAATCACAAGACAAACAGCAAAGTGGGAGGGAGGGCAGGAGCAGGAGGGAAAAGTGTCCGTCCTCATCGAGAGCAAGCAGAAAAGTGAAATTAGAAGGATTTTCTAAAACAAATTTACATTGGACTCATTGGACCAAATTCAAGATGGCTGCCACACACCCAAGTCAACCCTACTCTACACAACTCAGTGAATTTTATAAATATTGTGGTAAATAGGGTGGTAGTGCTGATAATTATTAACAAAACATACTAAAAAAAAAACACCAAGCGACAAAATGAGATTGTGTATTATATTAATGTTAAGGATTACCAAAAATGTTAAATCGTCATTTTTCATCATGAGTTATCTTTGTCTAAAACTCTGCAATGAAAATAAGCAGGTGATATGTATTTCAGTAAGGAAAGCTACGTTTTTAATATTTCATGTGGTCTTCTTCTTTCAGCTTTTCCCTCTTTAGGTGTCTCCACAGCGAGCCCTGCTCCTCCGTCTCACTCTGTCCTCTCTGTCCTCTGTCCTCATTACGTCCATGTCCTCTCTAACTGCATCCATACATCTCCTCTTTATCTTTTTCATGGCAGATGCATTTCTAACATCCTTCTACCAATATACCCACTGTCCCTCCTCTGGACATGTCCAAACCATCTCAGTCTGTCCTCTGTATATTTATCTCCAGTTGTTCAACCTGTGCTGTACTTCTGATGATCTCATTCCTAATACTGACTACAGCCATTTCCATTCTCTTGGTAAAATCCACCACCATCTGTCCTTCCTGGTTTCTTTCCTTGACACCAAACCCACCCATCACTTCCTCATCCTCTGTTTCCTTCACCAACACGTCCATTCAGCTCTGCTCCCATCACCA